CTACGCTGTCCGCTGGAATCCGCACTGGGCTCCAGAGGCCGTCTTCTGCTACGGCAACAACACCTACAGCACACTGGTGCCCCGCAAATCGCGCTACACAGGCTCGTGGAGCCACACGCGAATTGTGACTCACCGGAACGCCAATTGGGTGACCGAACCGTTGCTATCTGCGGCCCCTGTGGCAGCTACGCCGTGGCTGGTGTTGCGGGATCAAATAACCTGGGAGTGATCTCTGGCAAACGAGATGTGGTGCTTCTCAGCCTGCACTCATGTGACACGCAATGCCGTGCCCTGCAATCGCGTGGTGTTTCTCAGCCTGCACTCGCAGGTCCTTCGGAGGTCAATTGTTATGAGTTCGGCACGGTCTCGGTCAAGTACAGCGTGCTGTGGGGATCCCGAGATGGGGCCTGGCTCAAGGTGCTCAAGACGTACTGGAGTGTCTGCTCATCCTCGGGAGTTGGGCCTGAAGCTTACCAGAGCCGGAGTGGCTGATCCTCGGGAGTTGGAACGGCATTTTCAGGCCGTGGCCGGACACGTTCTGGATCAGGACGGGGGGGTCCGAGCCCGAGATGGAGTGCTAGCGCTCTGCAGTACAAGTGCTTTTCAGCATGCGACATCCTGCGGTGCTTCTCAGCCTGCAGGGTTCGCAGCGTGCGGTTTGCAATGCATTTTTTCAGTATGCGAGTTCCTGCGGTGTTTCTCAGGTTGCAGGGCTCCGAGGCTCTTCGCTTCGATGCCAATGTTTTCAGACACCGTAGCTCCGTTCCGTAAACATCTTCCAAGAGCCGCTCGCAACCTTTTGCAGCTGGCGGTCTGCAGACGTAGTCTGTCTCAGCATGCGAGCTCCCGCACGCTTCGCCGGCTTTTGCTGCGCGGACAATTTTCTCACACACGTCAGCGCCGTTTGTAGGCGTCAGAAAAACATGTAGACATTCACGAAGGGCTCAGTCTGTATATCGTCACATCATTACATACGCAGTCGTCGAACACATCGGTGTACATTCAGCGCTTTGTCCTTCTAGCTGGGTCGCTTCGTGCTGAGGCTGAGGCTGATGCAGGCTGAGGCTGAGGCAGGCTGAGGCTGAGGCCGAGGCCGACGGCAGACTGAGGCTGAGGCTGAAGCAGGCTGAGGCTGAGGCAGAGGCAGGCTGAGGCTGAGGCTGAGGCTGAGGCAGGCTGATGCTGAGGCAGGCTGAGGCTGAGGCTGAGGCTGATGCAGGCTGAGGCTGAGGCTGAGGCCGAGGCTGAAGGCAGACTGAGGCTGAGGCTGAAGCAGGCTGAGGCTGAGGCTGAGGCAGGCTGAGGCTGAGGCAGGCTGAGGCTGAGGCTGAGGCAGGCTGAGGCTGTGACTGCGACTGCGACTGCCGTTGCCACTGCGACTGTCATCGCGAATGCGACTACGACTGCGAGAACAGCAGAATTCTACAACTGGATTCTCATCTGAATCTTAAGGGGAATGCTTCCAGATATGCTCCTACACATCGCTGTTAGGTTGCTTTGCCGGGATAATATCTAATGGTGGGAGTCGTCGGGCCTCTTCGGCCCTCAGCCCCCTGGCAGCCACCGTTGAGCTGTAACAATGTTTTGCGGTTGGCTCCGGTGGTTGTACATCTGCACAGGCTGGGGGTGCCGTGGCTGGATGGGCCCTGCGAGGCCCGCCGCGGGGGGAGTAAATATGCTCCTTTCCGCCTCATCATAATCTTGCTTCTCTCGCTGCCTGCCTTGCAGTGCACTGTCTGTACTCTGTACTGTTACTGCGGTACCAACCCGCAGCTCTTCGCGCCCGAAGGAGAAACAGGAGCGAGCTTGCCTTCGGCCGCCGCGCGTCGTCGGTCGTCGGCCGGCCGGCCTCCTCCCTTACTAATCATGAGTACAATTGCTTACTGGTTAACCACTGTCTTGTCGATGTCTCTTCCCGTACTCTACCACTGAGCAGAGTGAGCGTGAGACCTTAATTCCTTTGTCATCTTACCACGATTCTCAGAGGAACGACTAGGATGTCCACTCTGGACCACGCCATCGAACTGCACCAACACCAGGCGAAGGACCGATCACTCGTTACTATTTGCACTTGAGCGGCGGTTAGCTGCGACCCTGGAGGACCTTCGAGAATGGCGGCCGTGTCCCTTGACAGTCAGATCTGGGACCCAGTCGAGGGGCGTTAAGGTGCTACTCCTCGCTTCTCCCCAAGGGCCCCTCTCGGGTCGGGCGGGTGCCCCCCGCCCTTGGCCCCCGGGGCTCGCTTCCTGGCGCCTCCCTCACCGGGCGCCCCCCTTGGTGGCCCCCTGTGGGAGCGGTCGGTCGCGTCTGTCCTCCCCCGTTCCCGTCGGGCCTTCTATTGGCGGAGCTTCGCCAGGCGTGCCGATTGACGTCGCTGGCGTCGCCCCCCCTCCCCAGGGCCGCCCTGGGACCCCACTGTCCGTGGTGGGTTTTCTCACTTTCAGCGGCGGTTAGCTGCGACCCTGGAGGCTCGCGTGGCGCGTGGTTGACGGCGACCCTGGAGTCCCGCGGGGAAGGGCGGAAGCGGGGGACATGGTCGACCCATGGTGGCCGTCGGCCCTCGCGGCTGCTACAGCGCAGCTCCCCCCAGGTCGCCCCGCCCAATTGCAATGGTTCTCCCACTGGCTTGGACACGCGCCACGCACCGCCCCTGGAGGCACGACCAGCTTTGTGTACTTGGAGGATAAGGCCGCCCCTCGGTGGCCTCTGGCGCACTTCAGGTGGCAGCTGCCTCACCACCGGTGCAGCGCCCCCCTGGATTCCCCTGCCTCGCTGGCGATGCTCACCACGCCTGCCTGGCCTTCTCCTCTAGCCCATCTGGCCTGGCGCCGTGCCGTTGCCGTCGGGGCCGGCTCGCGGTCGTCCGGGCCTACCGCGTGCGCTGTCTGATGGACTCTTGGGTGCTGTGACCGCAACGGAGTGGTTCAGCCTTGCGCAGCAGCAGCAGCACCCCGGGCTCATCCCCCCGCTCCGGGCAGGTCGCGTCGTTCAACGTTCCTCGGCGGCTCAGCTCCCCTAGCCAGCGCACGTCGTTGGGACGGATTGAGCTTGGCGCCCCAGTGGCGACTCGCCCATCGGGCTTCGCGCCTGCCCCCGCCCAGTATGACGGACACGTTTGCCCCAGTACACGTCATGTCGCTGTGTGGGGCATGCCTCACGGCAGGCAGCGAATTTCTCTACATTTTGTCAGTCAGTACGTGCTCGAGCTTCCCAGGATGTCCCCTGCCGTCAGCTTCCCGCACAGCCCCGCGGCTGCTTTGTGAGTGGGCCGGCCGGCTAGCGGCGTGTCTTGTAGCTAATTAGGCTTGCCCGTCGGCCCGGACACCCTGTTCGCCGCGTGCGCTCTTCGCTCGTGGCCGCGGCCGGAAAAATATCCCCACCAGCCCATCCAGAATCGATCAGCAGGGAAATTGGTGAATCAGGGGCGGCATAACGTATGCAGTCGCGCAGCCGTTTTCGAGAACACGAGCATCACACATAGCTTCCCGCATTGAAGTTTAAGATGGGAATCGGTGCAAGTTACGATAGTGCTTCGATGAGAGGTGAGGGGTATCTCGATGACTCGTAATGACTGTTGCACAGATTTGTATTTCAAGCTCGCGTCCGTTCCGAAACTTGGAGGCATCTTGGGGCCCTCTTGGGATTCTCTTGGGCCCCTCTTGGGGCCTCCTGGGGCTGTTTCTTGGGGCTCTCCTGAGGTCCTCTTAGGGCCTTCGTGGGTTTTGGGGGGCTCTTTTGGGGCCTTCTTGGGGCCCTCTTGGGGCTCTTTTGGAGGGTCTTGGAGCCCTCTTGGGGCTCTTTGGGGGGGGGGGGAGGCCTCTCGGGGCCGTCTTGGTCCTATGGCTAAAGAAGGGGGGGGGGCCCAATTCTTGCCCCCCCCCCACGGAGGCTCGAAAAGGCAGTCTTGGGACCCTCTTGGCCCGCTCTTGGAGCGCTCTTGGGCGCTCTTGGGGCCGTCTTGGGGCTCTGTTGGGCCCCTCTTGGGGCTGTCTTGGGCCATCTTGGGGCCATCTTGAGGCCTCAAGAGCCCTTCGCAGACGAAAAAACGATAAGGCACAAAACAATGGTTTTCCTTAGGTTTTTGAAGGATTTTGGCCTCTTGGGGGTGTCCTTGGAGGCCTCGGAGGGCACTTCGAACCGTCTTGGGGCCGTCTTGAGGCCTCTTGGACGCGTGTCGGAGGCTATCTTGACCCGTCTACCGCTATCTTGGGCCATCTTGGAGGCCATCTTGCGCTCTCGGAGGCCCTCTTGGAGCCATCTTGGGCCATCTTGGACGCTGCTATGGGTCCGTCCCCCCCCGCCCAAACGCAGGGAGGGGGAGGGGAGGTAAACTTCCCGAGCAGGGAAAAGCAGGAGGTTGGAAAGGGAAACGCCCTAGGCCATCTGCGCCCAGAGGGCTGGTGGGATTCATGCCTCGCACGAATCGCCCTGCTCTCCCACTTTGCCATTAGCTGTCTGATCTTGGGTCCCTTCAGGGCGCGGGCACAGCTCACCCTGGATGCCTGAGGCGACCTGCTTGACAAGGCTGTCGAATTTGAACTTGCTCGCATGGCGATTGATGTGGTATGCTTTGTCCACCCTCACCAGCTTCTTTGCCGACCTGTTCGCGAGGATGCCCCGCCGACGAAGCTGGCGCGCGACCTGTGCTAATCCTTCCCCGCAGGGGCATGGAGCAGAGGGGTACGTTGGCGCATCAGCTGCCCATGCAGATCGTATACGAGTAGGTCGGCGCTCATGTCTGACACGGCGGAATGCACCCTCCTGAAAATGTTCAGCAAACCTTGGCTCGAGAGCCTGACCGCTCGCCAAAGCGTGGGACGGAGCCCACCGCCTTGCGCCAAAAATGGGGCTACGGACTCTCTCCTCCCTCACCCCTCCCTCCTCCCTCCTCCCTCTCCCCCTCGTCGTCCTCCTCCACCTCCTCCTGGCCTGGCCGCGGCGGGCTCCCTCTGCACCCTTGGCCGTGCCCGCGCCGCCCTTCCGCGCCGCGCCTCTCCGAG